CCTCCCTGTCGGCATCCTGCGCTCGGTGTCCGCAATCTGATGTCCGCCGCCGGGCTCTTCTCCTCAATTACTCCGACACCATGTTCATCGACATCAGCTGGCCGAGGTGCGTCCCGAGAGACTCTTCAAGCCCATGCGCCTGGCACCAGTCCACCCGGTAACACTTTTTCGCTGCTCCCCTCGTCACCCGGCCTGGCCTCCGCCAGCGGCTCCGAGGACCACCTGATCCCCCGGTTCATGAACATGGTGCCGAAGTTCTTCAACACCGGCGACATGTTCCATGACAGCAGCAGCCACGACTATGTCCTCGTCGGGATCATCTGCCTCTATCGCAACCATTACACCTGTGCGTGCTGGCCTTCGCCCCCCGGCCTCTGCCCTCCCCTTCGGCCCCTGCCCGCTTGGTGGCCCCCCTGTCCCCCTGGCTGGCCTTTTACTTACTGGCCGATCCTCAGCTTTCCACTTCTCGCGCGCCGTCAATCGGTGGAGGCACTTCGATGATGGAGCCATCGCCACGCTGGACTCGAGTTTCCAAAGCGTGTCCGATCGAATCCAGGGCGGCTGCCACCTCCCGCGGATGTTGGTCTACGAACGGGGCACCTGCGCCTGAGTGTCCCTCCCTCTCTCGCCGCCCGCCTCGGCGTCGGCGCGCACGATCGCACCCGCGCCCTCGCCAGCGGTCGACATCGGGCGGCACCCTCAATAGAACAAAGACTCTGTGATGCCGGCACCAAGCTTCCCCTCTTCCCGGGGGAGGGATTCCTGCTATTGTACACTGCTCGCCGGTTCAACCTCACGGAGGAGGGGAGGGGGGGGGGGGAGATGCCGAGAGGGGCGCGGAAAAAAAAACCCCGAGAGAAGCACGGTCATTCAACGATGATTTGTCGAACAACATCCGCCGGGGCAAAGGCAAAGAGCGTGGCCGGGTATGTGGCTGACTTCCACTGGGGATGCCAGAGCAGGGCGCAGGTCCCCGAGCAGGCGGCCGTGTCGACATAGTACCGGAGGAAGGCCCGCGCGGCGGCGACCTCCGGGTACAGTGCCACGGCGGGATTGGTGACGCTCAGGGAGTGGGGCATCCCCGCGACCGGGGTGGCCCCGGTGGCCGAGGGCAACAGCCCGGCCCATGCCCCGGGAGCAAAGCAAACCGGGCTACCGGACGCCGGGTCCGCATACGCGGCCCAGTAGCCGAGCTCATTCAACCGCGAGCAGACCGTGTGTGCCCAGAGGGAAAACTGCGTGCCGGCAATCGCCCGGAGGGAGGTCCCGGCGCGGAGGAGGGGAGGAGCGCAAGGGCCAAAGAGCAGAACAGGGACAGGCCCGTGTGCCGGGATGCGTCAGTCGCAGCACATGCGGCAGTTCGAGCGGCGGAGAAAAGGGGAATGGGGGGGGGGGGGGGGA